CACACTGCTCGTCGTCTCCCACGACAGGTCCTTCCTCGACACGGTCGCTACGGACATTGTGCATCTGCACTCCGAGAGGCTGGACTACGTGAGTGCGAGGTCGAGCAAGCTTCAGCATTCGTTTCACGACGGCAGTCACCCTGATTCAATGATTGAAGCGCGAGCGAGCCATCGCTCGCGCCGACGCTGCGGGCACCTTTACACTTTGCTCATTCGCTCGCCCGCTTGCTTACCCCCACGCCCACAGTACAAGGGCAACTTTACCCAATTCTACGAGACTCGAAGCGAGAGGAGAAAGAATCAGCTGCGCGAGTACGAAGCTTCGGTGGCGAAGCGGGCGCACTTGCAGGCCTTCATCGATAGGTGGAGATACAATGCGAACCGAGCAGCTCAAGCTCAGAGCAAAATCAAGGAGCTGGAAAGGATGCCAGAGGTGGAAGCTCCAGAGCAAGATGAGGTGGTCAAGTTTAGACTGCCCGAGACGGACAAATTGCCACCTCCGCTCCTGCAATTGGACAATGTGACGTTTGGCTACACGCCAGACAAGATCCTTCTCAAGGACGTCAACTTTGACGTGGGCATGGAGAGCAGGATCGCCATTGTGGGCTCCAACGGTGCTGGCAAATCCACCCTCATGAAATTGCTCATGGGCAACATCAACCCCATCAGCGGCGACCAAAAGCGCAACAATAGGCTCCGAATCGGATACTTTTCTCAGCATCATATTGATCAGGTGAGTTGCGAAGCGAGGTGCGACGTGCGGCGAGGCGCATGCAAGGTGACCCATTCGTGCCTCCTCCTCTGCTACTCTTTCTTCGCAGCTGGATCTCACAGTCAGGTGAGAGCTGGGCCCTCTCCCCCATCTCTTTCCACGCAAGACTCACACTTTTGCCCTGCGCGCGCGCAGCCCCGTCGCCTTTCTAGCAGCCAAATTTCCGGGCAAATCCGTGGAAGAGTACAGATCTCACCTGTGAGTCGTCCTTCCCGCACGAGCGCCATCGTCGCGCCGCTCAACCACGCCCACCGCTTGCTCTTGCGCTTCGCGCCACGCCACGCCACGCCACGCTAGCGGCGCATTCGGCATCAAAGGTCCTACCGGCCTCCAAATCATTGCGACGCTCAGTGGAGGTCAAAAGTCGAGAGTGGCCTTTGCGCAATTGTCGCTGATGAGACCCCACGTGCTGTTGCTGGACGAGCCGACGAATCACTTGGACATTGAAGGCTTGGACGCTCTGATGGACGCCATCAAGGCTTGGAATGGAGGCGTCATCGCCATCAGCCACGACCAGCGTTTCATCCAAAACTGCATGGATCAGCTTTGGGTCGCTGATGCCGAAAAGAAGACGGTGACGCAGTTCAGGGGCGATGTGGAGAGCTACAAGAGCATCATCATCGAGATGAATAGAAAGCTACAGACTTCGCACAGTTGACGCGCGCGTTCGCCGCACAAAATGCATGCCATTAGCCTTGCATCGTCACACGCTCATGGCCATCTTGATGGCGGGACACGGATCGTAGCCTTGCACTTCAAAGTCGTCCGTCTTGAAGCTGTCAATGTCGGGGATGCGCCTCTTGAACGCGAGTTTTGGAAAGGGTCTAGGTCGCCGCTGTAATTGAGCTGCGGTTGAGTGAAAGCAGGTGAATGAGAGCA